CCATTTGTGCCACTTTCAGGTCTCCTCACACACTGCTGTGTGTTCCATTTTTTGTCATAGGTGCTGGCAGATTACGGGCCCCCCATAGCTGCTGCCAGGCCCCTAATCTGCCATGGGCCCCTGTACCGCCTCCTCATGCTGCTGCCAGGTCCAGAGTCTCAGGGGTCCCTGTTACGGCCTCCCATTGCTGCTGTCTCCATCGCCACACTCAGCCATGTGCCACTTTCAGGTCTCTCACACCACTGCTGGTGTGTTCCATTTTTTGTCATAGGGTGCTGGCAGATTACGGGCATCCCATAGCTGCTTGCCAGGGCCCCTACTAATCTGCCATGGGCCCCCGTACCTCCCTCCTCATGCTGCTGCCAGGTTCCACAGCTGTCTCCTGCCATTGTGCCACTCTTTCAGGTCTCCTCACACTGGGGGGGGTGTTCCATTTTTTGTCCTAGGGGGCTGGGCAGATTTCGGGCCTCCCCCTTGCTGCTGCCAGGGCCCCTAATCGGCCTATGGGCCCCTGTGACCGCCTCTTCATTGCTGCTGCCCAGGTCTCCAGAGTGTGTCCCTTGGGTCCCTGTAAGGGCGGCCTCCCCATTGCTGCTGCCAGGAGGGCAGCAAGGGTCGCAGCAGTGTCAGTGGAGGCAAACGGCCACGGAGTAAGAGCACCAGCTCCACTGCAGCCTACCACCAACGGCCAGTAGTGGTGCCGGCGTGTGCACGGAGGAAGTAGCAGTCAGCCAGTGAGGAGTACAGGGAGGACAAAAGTTTTCCTACTCGGCGGCGGTGTGGCAATTTTTCGTCAAGCCGCCCCGAGGAAGTAAACGTAGCCGTATGTCGACTATGTGGCCAGAAAGTCAAGCGTGGCCAGGGGGCCCATGTTGGGACTACAGCGTTGCGTCAGCATATGCAGCGTCCGGCCATTCGGTGGCCTACGGAAAACCGTCGATAAAGATAGGGCGGTTCTGCCTGCCACCAGCCCAGGGGTCCATTTTGTCCATAGGGTGCTGGCAGATTACGGGCCTCCCATTGCTGCTGCCAGCAGGCCTTAATATGCCATGGGCCCCTGTACCGCCTCCTCATGCTGCTTGCCAGGTCCACAGTGTCTCATGGGTCCCTGAACCGCCTCCCATTGCTGCTGTTCTCCATCGCCACACTCTGCCATGTGCCACTTTCACGGTCTCCTCACACTGCTGGTGTGTTCCATTTTTGTCATAGGGTGCTGGCAGATTACGGGCCTCCCATAGCTTGCTGCCAGGCCCCTAATCTGCCATGGGCCCCAAGTACCATCCGACCTCCTCATGCTGCTGCCAGGTCCAGAGTCTCTCATGGGTCCCTTGTACGGCCTCCCATTGCTGCTGTCTCCATCCGCCACACTCTGCTGCTGCATGTGCCACTTTCAGGTCTCCTCACACACTGCTGGTGTGTTCAATTTTTTGTCTACATAGGGTGCTGGGCAGATTACGGCCTCCCATTGCTGCTGCCAGGCCCCTAATCTGGCCGATGGGCACCTGTACCGCCTCCTCATTTTAGTGCTGCTGCCAGGTCCACAGTCTCTCATGGGTCCCTGTACGGCCTCCCATTGCTGCTGTCTCCCATCGCCACACTCTGCCATGTGCCACTTTCAGGTCTCCTCACACTGCTGGTGTGTTCCATTTTTTTGTCATAGGGTGCTGGCAGATTACGGGCCTCCCATAGCTGCTGCCAGGCCCCTAATCTTCCATGGCCCCATGTACCGCCTCCTCATGGCTGCTGCCAGGTCCAACAGTCCTCTCATGGGTCCCTGTACGGCCTCCCATTGCTGCTGTCTCTCATCGCCACACTCTGCCATGTGCCACTTTCAGGTCTCCTCACACACTGCTGGTGTGTTTCCAATTTTTTGTCATAGGGTGCTGGCAGATTACGGGCCTCCCATTGCTGCTGCCAGGCCCGTAATCTGCCATGGGCCCCCGTACCGACTCCTCATGCTGCGTGCCAGGCCCGTAATCTGTCATGGCCCCTGTTGTCGCTTTTTGGCATATTCCGCTCGTTCAGATGCTCCTTCTCCTGCTACTCCTCTTCACGGATTCCGTCAGCAGTCTTTCTTGGATCCGTTTCCAAGGAGACAACAGTTTTGCGAGCACGCACCCGACGGTGCAGAAGCTGAACGTCCTCCTGTCCAAGTTGCTGCTGCCCAGGCTCGTAATCTGTCATGCGCCCCTGTACCGCCTCCTCATGCTGCTGCCAGGTCCCAGAGTGTGTCATGGGCCCCCGTACCGACTCCTCATGCTGCTGCCAGGCCCGTAATCTGTCATGGGCCCCTGTAACCGCCTCCTCCTCATGCTGCTGCCAGGTCCAGAGTGTGTCATGGGTCCCTGGACGGCCTCCCATTGCTGCTGCCAGGCCCGTAATCTGCCATGGGCCCCCGTACCAACTTCCTCATGCTGCTGCCATGCCCGTAATCTGTCATGGGCCCCTGTACCGCCTCCCTCATGCTGCTGCCAGGTCCAGGAGTGTGTCATGGGTCCCTGTACGGCCTCCATTGCTGCTGTCTCCATCGCCACACTCTGCCATTGCCACTTTCAGGTCTCCTCACCTACTGCTGGTGGTTATCCATTTTGGTCACTAGGTGCTGTATGGCCTCCCATTGCTGCTGCCTCCACCGCCACACTGTGGCCCTTCCACACTCTGTTTTGGCCCCGTGACTGCCCAAATCGGAGTTGAAGGTGTGGCGGGGATTCTAAGAGCGTCGGCCTCAGCCTGCAGGTCATACTGGACCGTGTCAGTATTATTTGCTCTTCCCCAGCAGGACCTCCAAGGCATTTAAATTAAAGGGTCACAGTGTGCCTTGCACTAATATAAAGGCGCTCTGAAGGCACGAGAAACACCCTTTTAGAAGTGATAATGTCGGCAGGAATATATTCGTCTCGAAACTCAAAATTTTGTTCCCGAATTCGCCGAATCAGTCGAATCGAATTTTTGAATAATTCGCTCATCTCTAATTCTCATTCTGACAGGTGACTGAAAACAATGGATTGGGGATAGTGTTAAAAAACCGCATGTCACCCCCCCAAAAAAAAATGAATACCAGAATCATTTAGAGGGACCCCACTCTCAGGACAAAATTGACAAGGGAGGGCGGGACATCTATAACGGATTTTTCATTGTCAGTCTTTTTTTGATTATTCCTTGTAGATCAAAGATTGTCAAAAATTTATTTTTTATGTACCTACTGTGGTTTTCAACCTTTGTTTTTATATTATGTTGCGTGTCACTTGGCCCTTTTGTTTGGTTTTGCTTTGGGCCACCCATCAACAGTGATATTGGGGACACAACTCCTTGTTTCAAAACTCTTTTGCCCCTGAATATTTTCCATATGTACGCAAATTCCCAGGTATTGTAGGTTTGGGCTTGAACTTATCTTATGACCTAGCACTTTTTTTTTTTTGCACTGACACCACACACCATGAGTCGTTTAGCCTCCCTCATCCTTTTCTTTCTTTTCGCTTATTTTTCTCCCCTTAATTTTCCCTCCGAAATCGTAATCTCGGCCCCCCTGCTATAAGTGCCCCAGAATGTTCAGTGCCAAACAGCCCCACTAAATCGTGTCAAGGCCTCAACATCTTTTTTGTTTGATCCAAAACCAATTTTAATGTACTCCAGGAGACCCACTTTCCAGCCTCAACTCTCTGTTGTCCTGTCCATAGCTTCATATCCACAAGCCTATACAGTGAAATTTCATCCCCTGGCCATGGTAAAGGGGTTGGGGGAAAGGACCCCGGGCCAACTACCCCTGTAATATAATTGTGCTAATAGAATCCATGGAAGAAGTCGCTTACAAGGGACGGTCCATGCAATTCGCCAAGGGTCGGATACGACCTGGAAATGGATAGATAGGTGTAGATAGAGTAGATAGATTAGATACAATTGAATACAGAAATACACCAACAAGGTTTGTACCTTATTGCCCTGCAAACGAATGTTTCTGGTTTGTCTGTAACCTTGATTTATTTCTCACCAAATATGGAATCAGCTTTCCTTTTTCTCATTTGCTGGAAATGATCTGTAAACAGTGCCTAGGACTCTCTACACGATATTTTGTGGTGACTCCCTAGATGTTGACCAATAAAGAATGGCGTCCCTCTGCCACTCCTATTGGTACCTCAATGTCCAGCCCTCAAACCAATTTACGATTTGATAATTTCTCCTGGTGAGAATTACTACCCATGAGTCAAAAGATGACCCTTATTGTTTCTCACTCCCCGTGCCTGTTTTGTGTCATTTCCCCTCTTGCCCAGGTCTCTTCTGATCCCGTCTGTTCTAATTCATGGTCGGATCATGGACCTGTTTTATGCAATTAGTAGGTGACTCTTTTTGTCTTTCCATTTCACTGCACCCCTAAATGATTTCTGCTCTTAAGTGACCCCTTTCTAAAACTCTTTTTTCAACGTTTTTTCTTATGACTTCACCCACTGCTGCTGTGGAAGGCCCACCAAAGCGACACAATTGAGGACGGTCCACCCCCTCAGTTAAGTTGATAGCATACAAAATACATTGCAGTGACAAAAACCTCCAGGATATTGGGCAGAACTTTCACGGCTCTTTGAAGCAACTTAAGATCTACTCCCACACCTGACAACTCAATCATGAGAAATGCTCCATTGGATTTTCAATTCAATTTTTGCAGTCACGCAAATCAGGTTGGATTGAAGCTTTGTTCTGGTCTTCAGGGCAACAGACCCAATACGTTTAGGGATTCAAAATGTTTAGAAAACTCAAAAATTGCCACTCACGTGGAGGGAACAGTGCACCTTGCATATATGGCTTATAGGGAATACAATATGCTGGCCCTTAAGTAATAATCGGAGGAAATTTGCATCATCTGTCTTACCTATGGGCGTTCCACCAATTCCCTTAGGGAGGATCCCCATGAGTGAAAGGCCCATGATCAGTGACGAAGCTAGTCGGAGGGGGAGTCAGCCAAACAGGAAGTGTAGTTGGACATGCATGATTAGAAAATTATGCAGATTTCCTGATTTTTGTTAAGGAGACAGCATATTGTATAAAGTACATCGATTACATCAAAGTTCACTGTTCCATGTGAGTGCACTTTCTTGGGGTTTTAAAATTTTTTTAATCTTCTTCCATTCTAGTTTCTGCAATTAAATTTCAGCCCAAATGGACTAGCCTTCTGTTATAAACTTTTCACTTTGATGTTCGGGGATGTCTTTAAATTCAGTCCTCTGTCGGTGGCTCATTTTATTTCTTTGCGATTCTATAACACAGTTACCCAGTCATATCAGCATAGATATC